TGTTGACTTACTAACTTAATAACTAACTTACTGTCTTACTTAGTAACTTACTTACCTACCTACTTACTAACTGATTAACTTACTTACTTACCCACTTACCTACCTATTACTCACTTAATTACTAACTTACCTACTTACTTACTTCCTTACTTACTTACTTATTAGTATGTTACGCACCAACCTACTAACTTATTCACTTACTCACTTACTGACTAACTCACTTACTGACTAACTCACTTACTGACTAACTCACTTACTGACTAACTCACTTACTGACTAACTCACTTACTTACTAACTCACTTACTTACTAACTCACTTACTGACTAACTCACTTACTGACTAACTCACTTACTGACTAACTCACTTACTGACTAACTCACTTACTGACTAACTCACTTACTGACTAACTCACTTACTTACTAACTCACTTACTAACTAACTCACTTACTGACTAACTACCTTCTTACGCACTTACTCACTTACTGACTAACTCACTTACTGACTAACTCACTTACTGACTAACTCACTTACTGACTAACTCACTTACTTACTAACTCACTTACTGACTAACTCACTTACTGACTAACTACCTTCTTACGCACTTACTCACTGACGTAGATTTAGTTTGTCTCCTTGAAAGGACACACCAGAGAGATTATGTTGGTGTTTAAGGCATTGTGTTTTTCAGAGTTTCCTGTCTCATTTCCTGAGTATAATCTCCATTTGATTTTCATTTACTGCTTTTTTGTTTTGCTCCTTAACACGCAGATATTCCTCCCATGCAACACACGTTACTTACAACTTCTCTCACTCACACTATCAATATTACACAAGAAAACCCCTTAATGTATCTTCTCAATCGCTCTAACTCAATACCTTTTGTGCAATCCTCCTTAAATTGCCCAAATACTAATTATTACACAGTAGCAGGATAAGAAAATCACTGTATGTAATAAACTAGGAGCACAATCAATGTTTTAGTATCGATGTTTTATGATTAGAAATACCGAAGTACGTCCGTCAAAAAAGTCTAGTTAAGTAAAAAGTAAAATATTTCATTCAAAAGCACTTAAAAAACTATTTAAGTATCAGTAGAAGTTAGATTTCACCACTGGTTTTATCACTTACTCACTCACTTACTCACTTACTTACTTCCTTACTTACTTACTTACTTCCTTGCTTACTTACTCACTTACTTACTTCCTTACTTACTTCCTTGCTCACTAACTCACTTACCTACTTACTTACTTTCTAACTAACTTACCTACCTACTTACTTAATTACTTACTTACTTTAGCACACCATTCATTCGAAGTTGAATGGTGAGATTTCACCACTTACTTACTCAATTACTCTTATTCATGTTTTATAATTAGAAATGCCCAAAGTACATCCCTCACAAAAGTCTAGTTGGGTAAAAGTAATTAAAAAAGCCCTTAAAAACTGTATTTAAAGGTGGGGTAGGTAATTTTGGAGAAACCAGCTCGAGTGCGCTAGAATTTGAAAATACTCTGGCCCTGTCTCAGGTCGACTATTTTTATTTCCTCGCTCCTCGCTCCTCGCTCCTCGCTCCTCGCTCCTCGCTCCTCGGTCCTCGGTCCTCGGTCTCACCGGAAGTTGATTTGTCTGCGCCATCTTGAGTACCGTCCCATGGCTCTTATTTCTGCCGGAGGACCGAGGATCGAGGAGCGAGGAGCGATAATGGAGGAGTGATAATCGAGGAACCACCGATCCATCCTCCGATGAAATCCTCAGATACTCGCCCCGCCCCCTTACTGTGTATCGCTCACTGATTGGACGATGCCGTGCATGCACTGATCTGATGCTTCTTGTCATGAGAGCAGTTTCCCAGCGGAGTGAAGAAAACACATGAAACTCACCTGAGTCACTCCTCAGTTAGTTTATACCGTGTTTTGTTCCAATGAATGTTAATCTAACTGGGTTTTGATAGATAACATATCTCTTTTTCTTCTCTCAATTATGTTATTTCTATTGTGCACTCTAATCAATATTAATCAAACTATTGTTCGTTTATACATTTTAAGAATGGCGTTTATCTTTTTTGAGAATGAGTTCTTATTTTATTTAATGTATTTGGGGGTCTACAACAGATGATACTATGTTAGTGTCAGTAAATGTGTACTAACAGAGGGGGGGGCGGGGGTGTGTGGAAATAACGGGGACAGAGCTGCTGTCAGACGATCAGCTGTGCGGCGTCATCACAAACGGACGTCGCTTCACGTGACGCTCCGGAGGAAAGGACGTCCCATTGCTCTTACAACTCATTTCCCTGCTTCTCGTGGTTTCCTTGCGTCTCTCCTTGCTTCCCTGGTGGGAGGGACTAAACGCAGGGAAACGACGCAAGTGAGGGAAGCAAGGATTTCATTTAATCGACCTGAGACGGGGCCACAGCCGGAAAAAATCTGCCCCTTCCGTCAGAGTTCCTCACAGAGCCCCTCCTCCAACACACACGAACGCGCACATGACCAATGAGGGCACGAGGTAAGTGTGTGCACAGATGGGAGGCTGACAGGCAGGTAGGCCATCCAGTTACTTTAGCCGGGCCGGCTCAGATGATTGGTCGTGCTTTGTACAGCGCCACGGCTTCCACTGATGACATTTGTTATGGATTTGTTGTCAAAGCACTTCAGATATTCATTGCTATCGGGATGTTAAGAGCATTCATGGAATATAACAACAAGTGTATCTCGAGCCGGTTTCTCACCTAAGTACAACAGTTAAGTGTTAGTGGAAGTTAGATTTCACCACAGGTTGTATTGGTGATGTGACACTGTCGGATGCATCGTTGGATGTTCACTTCCACAAAGATTTCTAAAAGATTCCTGAAAGATTATTGAACACGTTTTCCGTAGCGGAAAAGGCCAACAAAACAACCCAAATGATAAATCTGAAAACAGCAGGTTATTATAAAATGAGAAGCATATTACTGTGCATAACATTTATTTAGTAATATAGTTGTTTTATCTTTAATCACTTGATTTTGAAACTCCAGAGGGCGGGGTGCGTACCAACATGTTTTGTGTTTTTTTAGTTAAACTTCAAAATCAAAGTGACAAAAAGTCATCTGACTCAAATGTGACTGCATGAATTTATTAATTTGAGAAACGGGAAGCGCAAACGTGTGTGTGTGTGTGTGTGTGTGTGTGTGTGTGTGTGTGTGTGTGTGTGTGTGTGTGTGTGTGTGTGTGTGTGTGTGTGTGTGTGTGTGTGTGTGTGTGTGTGTGTGTGTGTGTGTGTGTGTGTGGTGGGAGGGGTCTTTCACAGTATAAACAGCCATCACTCTCTGCCTCCATCTCTCCAGGACTTTAAAACCCTGCGTTCCTCCTGCACGTTGGTGGCTCTGCAGAGGACATTAGATTGACTTTTAATAATCTTTGATCGTTGTTCGTAATCATGGCTCTAAATAAATCCAAAATAGCGATTGGGTTTATCGTGGCAGGGGTTCTGACCGTGGTGTCTGGAATCGTTATGCTGTTCGTGGGACCGGCCGTGATGAAAGACCAAGTGATAAAGGTGAGTGATAATGGGGAAAGTTAAAAATTAAGTAAAAAAAAGATTAGTATTCATTTAAAGAAATATATGCAGTTTGATAAAATAGTTAAAATATGGAGGAAATAAAAATGTTTAGCTAAATCATGTCATAACAATGTAATTCTTCTTCTAAATTCCTTTTCCATGTGTTTTAAAAATATATATAGGAGAGTCGAACCTTTTGAGGTGTAAAAAATAATATACAAATTAAAAATAATTAATACAATTAATTAATAGTGCAATACAATTTTAATAATAAAAAAGCATAAAAAGGTTTTTAAATGAAATGGTCAAATCTGGATCAGCTCCGTTGTTCCCCAGAGATTTGGGTACGGAGGAAAAGAGAGAGGGTTTTATTTCTGACGCTGCGTGAGTTCCCCGACACACCGGGGACACTGTTTAAATATAAAAGACATCACAAAGTGCATTTTGCATGATAGGTGCCCTTTAACTTGTAAAAGCAACTTCAAGGTTTTTAACTTGTTTATTTATGTATTTTAAGTTTCTGGAGGTGTTTCCATTTGGGGATATTGTTCTGTAATTCAATAGAGATGGTTTATATCCAAATGTGAGTTTCAAGACACTATATAAAAAAAATGAAAAATACATAAAAAAACGAATTAAAAAACAAAACAAGTATGAAAGATAACAAATAAATAAATCAAGTTAAAAAGTATGTTTTAAATGAAGTAATTAATCAAATATAAATATTAGTGCTTCTCTACACTCTATTTTTGTTGGCAAAGTTGCGCAAGCTAGCCTTATGACCTGAGGGAGCAAAGGTGTAAGTACATAAGATAACAACCTTACAGAAAATGGTAAATATACCTAAAAGCAATACTCTACACTACAGATCTAGCACTACAAATAATAGGGACATAAACACATTAATACAACTACAAATACATATTATAAAATAATAAAAACATAAAGTCAAAATGGTTAGCTGTGTGATGTCTGGAACATTTGAATTTTAAGGATTTTTTTTACTTGGTTGTATTTCTAATTTTTACTTTTTTATTTTCTACCCATGTTGTAAAATAAAGAAAGCGCGGTGACAACTACATGTCCCAGAATCCTCAGGGCGCACTAAAGGGGGCGTGGCTGACAGGGTATAAATACAGCGACAATAGCTGCAGATCGATGTCATGGATCTAAGAAGTTTAAAAGCTGGCAGGGCTCTAAATGTCGACCTGAAGCTAGATTTAATGTCACAGCGAGACCTCTCTGTATTCCTTTATGAGTGTTAGCCGTTAGCAGACTGACATTAGCGGTTAGCACAGCATCTCTCCGGAGCTAAACACACTGCTGTCAGCTGTCCACAACAACAATAACAAGCCATGGCGATAAATAAAGCCAAAGTGGCGGTGGGCTTCATAGTGTCCGGGGTCCTCATGGTGTTCTTCGGGGTGGTTTTAACTTTTGTGGGACCAATAATCATCGACGATCAGGTGGTGAAGGTAAGAACACATTCATAGTGTTTTCCTGTGAGAGCTGTAAATGAGTGTTTCTTTATCTTGTTATCAGTCTCAAAGGGCTCCCCTGACACGTAAGGATCTCTATACATGATCAAGGACACTCAGATAATCAGGAATAATGTGCATGCAGAGGAGGGAGAATATCCTGTATTAATCAGTCAAAGTACATGTCACCTCTGACTCCCTATCTCTCGGCACTACAATGTGTAGGAATATTCTGTTACAAGTCAACTTAAAGTACCAAAAGTAAAAGTACTCATTGTGTGTTATGTGTCATTCCAGAATCATATACATTCAGTGGTGTAAAGTACATGTACTGAAGTACTGTACTTAAGTAACATGTTGAGGTTCTTGTGCTATTGTGTCTATGTACTGTACTTCTACTCCACTACAGTTCAGAGGTACATGGTGTACTTTTTCTCCACTACATGTATTTAATACCTTTAGTTACTTCACAGATGTAGATGAATGATGTGAAATCCAATCACTTTTACTGTAACAGAGTATTCCTACACTCTGGTACTTCTACTTTTACTCAAGTACAAGATCTGAGTACTTCTACTTTTACTCAAGTACAAGATCTGAGTACTTCTACTTTTACTCAAGTACAAGATCTGAGTACTTCTACTTTTACTCAAGTACAAGATCTGAGTACTTCTACTTTTACTCAAGTACAAGATCTGAGTACTTCTACTTTTACTCAAGTACAAGACCTGAGTACTTCTACTTTTACTCAAGTACACGACCTGAGTACTTCTACTTCTACTCAAGCACACGACCTGAGTACTTCTACTTCTACTCAAGTACAGGACCTGAGTACTTCTACTTTTACTCAAGTACAGGACCTGAGTACTTCTACTTTTACTCAAGTACAGGACCTGATTACTTCTACTTTTACTCAAGTACAAGACCTGAGTACTTCTACTTTTACTCAAGTACAGGACCTGAGTACTTCTACTTTTACTCAAGTACAGGACCTGAGTACTTCTACTTTTACTCAAGTACAGGACCTGAGTACTTCTACTTTTACTCAAGTACAGGACCTGAGTACTTCTACTTTTACTCAAGTACAGGACCTGAGTACTTCTACTTTTACTCAAGTACAGGACCTGAGTACTTCTACTTTTACTCAAGTACAGGACCTGATTACTTCTACTTTTACTCAAGTACAGGACCTGAGTACTTCTACTTTTACTCAAGTACAGGACGTGAGTACTTCTACTTTTACTCAAGTACAGGACCTGAGTACTTCTACTTTTACTCAAGTACAGGACCTGAGTACTTCTACTTTTACTCAAGTACAGGACCTGATTACTTCTACTTTTACTCAAGTACAGGACCTGAGTACTTCTACTTTTACTCAAGTACAGGACCTGATTACTTCTACTTTTACTCAAGTACAGGACCTGAGTACTTCTCCCCCCTCTGGGTATATTTTCTGGATTATTATCATGCATGCATTAACATGTTCATTAAAGCAGGTGAAGGTGGGGCCAATTCAAATACTTGAAGTACTTCTACTGGATATATTACCCTATAATTATATATCAGAGTTGATTGATATTTTGCAAAAGTAATCTTGATCAATAAATGTATTGGAGTAGAAGTACGAGGTAGTATAAAATGGAAATACTCAAGTAAAGTGCAATTGCTTAAGTACAGCACTTGAGGTACTTTCCACCTCTGATATAACAGTTATAATATGCGGTAATGTCTTGGTGTTCATTCAATCATTAGAGAGTAATTACATCATAAGGTTGACCGCTGATGGACTGAATGATTGCTGAAGCGCGTGTGTGTGTGTGTGTGTGTGTGTGTGTGTGTCTGTGAATGTGTGTCTCTCTCTGTGTGTGTGTGTGTGTGTGTGTGTGTGTGTGTGTGTGTGTGTGTGTGTGTGTGTGTGTGTGTGTGTGTGTGTGTGTGTGTGTGTGTGTGTGTGTGTGTGTGTGTGTGTGTGTGTCTGTGAATGTGTGTCTCTCTCTGTGTGTGTGTGTGTGTGTGTGTGTGTGTGTGTGTGTGTGTGTGTGTGTGTGTGTGTGTGTGTGTCTCTCTGGGTCTGTGTGTGTGTGTGTGTGTGTGTGTGTCTCTCTGGGTCTGTGTGTGTGTGTGTGTGTGTGTGTGTGTGTCTCTGGGTCTGTGTGTGTGTGTGTGTGTGTGTGTGTGTGTCTCTCTCTCTGGGTCTCTCTCTGTGTGTGTGTGTGTGTGTGTGTGTCTCTGTCTCTCTCTCTCTGGGTGTGTGTGTGTGTGTGTGTGTCTCTGGGTCTCTCTCTCTCTGTGTGTGTGTGTGTGTGTGTGTGTGTGTGTGTGTGTGTCTCTCTCTGGGTCTCTCTCTCTGTGTGTGTGTGTGTGTGTGTGTGTGTCTGTGTCTCTCTCTGGGTCTCTCTCTCTGTGTGTGTGTGTGTGTGTGTGTGTGTGTGTGTGTGTGTGGTGTGTGTGTGTGTGTGTGTGTGTGTGTGTGTGTGTGTGTGTGTGTGTGTGTGTGTGTGTCTCTCTCTGGGTCTCTGTCTGTGTGTGTGTGTGTGTCTCTGTCTCTCTCTGGGTCTCTCTGTGTGTGTGTGTCTCTCTCTGGGTCTCTCTGTGTGTGTGTGTGTGTGTGTGTGTGTGTGTTTCTCTCTGGGTTTGTGTGTGTGTGTGTGTGTGTGTGTGTGTGTGTGTGTCTCTCTGGGTCTGTGTGTGTGTGTGTGTGTGTGTGTGTGTGTGAGCCTTTGTTTCATATGATTGTCAACTTTGATTTGTGACTATTTGTTAGATTCTTAGATCCATTTGTTGACATTGTATAGACTAAACTATCAGTTACATTATTAGAAAAGAGCTGAAATGAAGTCACAGAAACTGTACTTTTATAATCTTTAAGGCTTTTATTTAAAACATAGCTTTAAAAAGCTTCTTTGGAAAATATGTGATGCTAAAATAATGGTTTGAACTCTGTGGAGCAAATGAGCTTTTGCAGATATAGAATAACGGACAGTTTATGTATGTTAAGTCATCTTAAGCCAAAATGACAGAGATTTGTTTCCGGCTACTTAAATATGCAATGTATGTTTTTTCTTGTATGAAAGTAAAGTGAATATCTTTTGGATTTCTGAATTACAAAACATGTTTTTAATATTCCTTCACAGGTATCTTGAGATATCAGCGTTGTCCCTCCATGAGTTCATCTTTCCTCCATAAATACATTTGTTCCGTAATTTATTCACTATTTAAACAAAGTAATAAACAATAATAATAGTAAAGAATAAAACGCAGAATTGTCGTAAGATAATAATAAACATATATGAATATAACATATCTAAACTACTGTGCACATGACAATACATCCTTGAATCGTGAATATAAAATTAGCTTTTCCGGCATTTTTTGAGGAAACTATTATAAATAATAAACCATAAAAATAACACATAGTTTAATCCTTTTTATTTAATATTATTCTTTCTCTCCATCCAATGTCAGAACACAGTGATTGACCCGAAGAACAGCATGTCTTACACCATGTGGAAGGACGTCCCGGTGCCCTTCTTCATGTCCGTCTACTTCTTCAACGTCCTGAACCCTCGGGAGGTTCTGAAAGGAGAGAAACCCATGGTGGAGCAGAAAGGACCCTTTGTGTACAGGTAGGAACTTTTTAAAAAGGCCTTATGCTGCTTTTTGGGGTGTTTTTGTGCATGTAAAACATCAGCAGGAGAGGACTCTTTAAAGTAGAGACACTACATACTGATATACACCTGAACATCAGCAGGAGAGGACTCTTTAAAGTAGAGACACTACATACTGATATACACCTGAACATCAGCAGGAGAGGACTCTTTAAAGTAGATACACTACATACTGATATACACCTGAACATCAGCAGGAGAGGACTCTTTAAAGTAGAGACACTACATACTGATATACACCTGAACATCAGCAGGAGAGGACTCTTTAAAGTAGAGACACTACACACTGATATACACCTGAACATCAGCAGGAGAGGACTCTTTAAAGTAGAGACACTACATACTGATATACACCTGAACATCAGCAGGAGTGGACTCTTTAAAGTAGAGACACTACATACTGATATACACCTGAACATAAGCAGGAGAGGACTCTTTAAAGTAGAGACACTACATACTGATATACACCTGAACATCAGCAGGAGAGGACTCTTTAAAGTAGAGACACTACATACTGATGTACACCTGAACATCAGCAGGAGAGGACTCTTTAAAGTAGAGACACTACACACTGATATACACCTGAACATCAGCAGGAGAGGACTCTTTAAAGTAGAGACACTACATACTGATATACACCTGAACATCAGCAGGAGAGGACTCTTTAAAGTAGAGACACTACACACTGATATACACCTGAACATCAGCAGGAGAGGACTCTTTAAAGTTGAGACACTACATACTGATATACACCTGAACATCAGCAGGAGAGGACTCTTTAAAGTAGAGACACTACATACTGATATACACCTGAACATCAGCAGGAGAGGACTCTTTAAAGTAGAGACACTACATACTGATATACACCTGAACATCAGCAGGAGAGGACTCTTTAAAGTAGAGACACTACATACTGATATACACCTGAACATCAGCAGGAGAGGACTCTTTAAAGTAGAGACACTACATACTGATATACACCTGAACATCAGCAGGAGAGGACTCTTTAAAGTAGAGACACTACATATACACCTGCACATCATCAGGAGAGGACTCTTTAAAGTAGACACACTACATACTGATATACACCTGAACATCAGCAGGAGAGGACTCTTTAAAGTAGAGACACTACACACTGATATACACCTGAACATCAGCAGGAGAGGACTCTTTAAAGTAGAGACACTACATACTGATATACACCTGAACATCAGCAGGAGAGGACTCTTTAAAGTAGAGACACTACACCCTGATATACACCTGAACATCAGCAGGAGAGGACTCTTTAAAGTTGAGACACTACATACTGATATACACCTGAACATCAGCAGGAGAGGACTCTTTAAAGTAGAGACACTACATACTGATATACACCTGAACATCAGCAGGAGAGTACTCTTTAAAGTAGAGACACTACATACTGATATACACCTGAACATCAGCAGGAGAGGACTCTTTAAAGTAGAGACACTACATACTGATATACACCTGAACATCAGCAGGAGAGGACTCTTTCAAGTAGAGACACTACATACTGATATACACCTGAACACCAGCAGGAGAGGACTCTTTAAAGTAGAGACATTACATACTGATATACACCTGAACATCAGCAGGAGAGGACTCTTTAAAGTAGAGACGCTACATACTGATATACACCTGAACATCAGCATGAGAGGACTCTTTAAAGTAGAGACACTACATACTGATATACACCTGAACATCAGCAGGAGAGGACTCTTTAAAGTAGAGACACTACATACTGATATACACCTGAACATCAGCAGGAGAGGACTCTTTAAAGTAGAGACACTACATATACACCTGCACATCATCAGGAGAGGACTCTTTAAAGTAGAGACACTACACCTGAACATCATCAGGAGAGGACTCTTTAAAGTAGAGACGCTACATTACTGATATACACCTGAACATCAGCAGGAGAGGACTCTTTAAAGTAGAGACACTACATACTGATATACACCTGAACATCAGCAGGAGAGGACTCTTTAAAGTAGAGACACTACATACTGATATACACCTGAACATCAGCAGGAGAGGACTCTTTAAAGTAGAGACACTACATATACACCTGCACATCATCAGGAGAGGACTCTTTAAAGTAGACACACTACACCTGAACATCAGCAGGAGAGGACTCTTTAAAGTAGAGACGCTACATACTGATATACACCTGAACATCAGCAGGAGAGGACTCTTTAAAGTAGAGACACTACATACTGATATACACCTGAACATCAGCAGGAGAGGACTCTTTAAAGTAGAGACACTACATACTGATATACACCTGAACATCAGCAGGAGAGGACTCTTTAAAGTAGAGACACTACATACTGATATACACCTGAACATCAGCAGGAGAGGACTCTTTAAAGTAGAGACACTACATACTGATATACACCTGAACATCAGCAGGAGAGGACTCTTTAAAGTAGAGACACTACATATACACCTGCACATCATCAGGAGAGGACTCTTTAAAGTAGACACACTACACCTGAACATCAGCAGGAGAGGACTCTTTAAAGTAGAGACGCTACATACTGATATACACCTGAACATCAGCAGGAGAGGACTCTTTAAAGTAGAGACACTACATACTGATATACACCTGAACATCAGCAGGAGAGGACTCTTTAAAGTAGAGACACTACATACTGATATACACCTGAACATCAGCAGGAGAGGACTCTTTAAAGTAGAGACACTACATATACACCTGCACATCATCAGGAGAGGACTCTTTAAAGTAGACACACTACACCTGAACATCAGCAGGAGAGGACTCTTTAAAGTAGAGACACTACACCTGAACATCAGCAGGAGAGGACTCTTTAAAGTAGAGACACTACATACTGATATACACCTGAACATCATCAGGAGAGGACTCTTTAAAGTAGACACACTACATACTGATATACACCTGAACATCATCAGGAGAGGACTCTTTAAAGTAGAGACACTACATACTGATATACACCTGAACATCATCAGGAGAGGACTCTTTAAAGTAGAGACACTACATACTGATATACACCTGCACATCAGCAGGAGAGGACTCTTTAAAGTAGAGACACTACATACTGATATACACCTGAACATCATCAGGAGAGGACTCTTTAAAGTAGAGACACTACATACTGATATACACCTGAACATCAGCAGGAGAGGACTCTTTAAAGTACAGACACTACATACTGATATCCACCTGAACATCAGCAGGAGAGGACTCTTTAAAGTAGAGACACTACATACTGATATACACCTGAACATCAGCAGGAGAGGACTCTTTAAAGTAGAGACACTACATACTGATATACACCTGAACATCAGCAGGAGAGGACTCTTTAAAGTAGAGACACTACATACTGATATACACCTGAACATCAGCAGGAGAGGACTCTTTAAAGTAGAGACACTACATACTTATATACACCTGAACATCAGCAGGAGAGGACTCTTTAAAGTAGAGACACTACATACTGATATACACCTGAACATCAGCAGGAGAGGACTCTTTAAAGTAGAGACACTACATACTGATATACACCTGAACATCAGCAGGAGAGGACTCTTTAAAGTAGAGACACTACATACTGATATACACCTGAACATCAGCAGGAGAGGACTCTTTAAAGTAGAGACACTACATACTGATATACACCTGAACATCAGCAGGAGAGGACTCTTTAAAGTAGAGACACTACATACTGATATACACCTGCACATCATTTATTGATCTAAATAATTTCACCCTGAGTGTATTCTATTCTGTAAACGGTGAGCTTCTTGCAGCTGGTTTGGTGAAGTCCAGCTGTGTCTCATTTACGCCCCGCTGGCCCCCTCTTGTTTTTTAGTTTTTGAGGGAACACTATGTTCTCCTCATTGATTTGTAGGTCATGCGACATGAGAGTAATTCAACCTCTCCGGTGCCGCAGTAGGATGTCGTTCGGACGCTGTTACATAACTGTACACTAGATTGTATCTACTGTACATCTAATGAGAGGATCACGTGGACTCATCCACCTCCTTTTCTCTCTCTCAGAAACACAATGCATGCAGAGATCTATTTTATGTAAAAGTGGAGGGATATGTCTGCAGTAATGTCTCATTTAAGTTCTGAATCTTATTCTCACTTTCTGTTCTCGTAGATTCACTTCCAGGTGTTTTTAATTCACATTTTTATAAGTAAAATAGTCGCTTTAGACTAGAGTGTCTTTTAACCAAGACTCTCCTTGGAAATAAATTCTCAGCTGACTAACACTAATTTGAATGTAAGTGTTTCCACGATAAATCTTGCAAAAGCACCACTTTATTTCTTGTGTTTACCTGAGATGTGCTACTTTCTAAGAATAGGAAGGTGTTTTTTAAACCGGAGGAATATTTGGGGTTTGCTTCATTTAAAAAAATAAAATAAAATAAAAGTTAAATAAAATAAATTGAATACAAATAGAACATAATAAGTTATAGTAAGACCCTGTAAAAAGGGAATATAATAGATTAAAAATGTTTATATAAACATAACAAGTTCGATTTTTGATTAAAAATAAAGAAGGAATATTGATATTTATATAAAGAATGTCTGTGATGGAAACTAGGAGGCAGGAATAAGGAGACAAAACACCGAGGGCACAGCAGCTCAAGGTTGTGCTCATTGAGGACAACCTGATGAACTGGCTCAAAGTTATAGGCCCAGGAAAATGTTTCCTTAACAATATATATATATATATATATATATATATATATATATATATATATATATATATATATTAGATTTTTCATTAACATTTTTAATAGAAAACTGAAAGTGAGCATTATATTTCTGTCCCTTTCTTATTCTGTAATCGTATATTTGTAAAAAAATAAGTTTGGGTCAACAGGAGTGAGTGTGTGTGTGTGTGTGTGTGTGTGTGTGTGTGTGTGTGTGTGTGTGTGTGTGTGTGTGTGTGTGTGTGGTGTGTGTGTGTGTGTGTGTGTGTGTGTGTGTGTGTGTGTGTGTGTGTGTGTGTGTGTGTGTGTGTGTGTGGTGTGTGTGTGTGTGTGTGTGTGTGTGTGTGTGTGTGTGTGTGTGTGTGTGTGTGTGTGTGTGTGGTGTGTGTGTGTGTGTGTGTGTGTGTGTGTGTGTGTGTGTGTATTGTGTGTGTGTGTGTGTGTGTGTGTGTGTGTGTGTGTGTGTGTGTGTGTGTGTGTGTGGTGTGTGTGTGTGTGTGTGTGTGTGTGTGTGTGTGTGTGTGTGTGTGTGTGTGTGTGTGTGTGTGTGTGTGTGTGTGTGTGTGTGTGTGTGTGTGTGTGTGTGTGAATTAAAGAACAGTGTGTGTTCATGATAAGGTCCCACAATGCAACAGTGTGTGAGACACTATCAAGCTCTGATACACACACAATACTTAAATAGAGAATCTATGTACTGTTTTTGGTCCGATAACAGAAATCGAGATGATCTAATCATAAAGTTTACATTTGGTGTCTGCTCCGGTCAAAATCCATTATGTCTGTGTGATAAGGAACTTTGCTTTAACGCTGATTGTTTAAAAAAAGGTGTATTTATATTCTGAAATAAAACCCTGCAGTGAAATGTATGTCAAATGTTTCTTCACAAAACTCCATTTATTAATGAAGAAAGTCGATAAAAAAAGAATTGAATCTCAATAAAATCGTCTAATATTGGCTATATTTTTATTTTATTATTATATATTAGCTCAAATGTTTTGTATAATTAAATGTCAGAAAATAAATTAAGAATTAACCTAAAAAGTAAAACTATGAATCATTTTTCTCAGCGCTGAAAAATTATTTAATATTTTTTATACTTAAACTACAATTGGTGAAATATATGTTTTTTACAATATCAGAAACAGGGTTTATTGTCAAGAATATGAATATATATAATATATTATAGGAGGAATTTACCTTGGTGTACATGGGGCATACATAAACAGTTAAATTAGAACAATTGTATAAAAAAAGGACCAAAAAGTATAAAAATCTATTCGAGAAAATGTATTAAAACGTAAAAATATAAAGAAATATTTACATGAAATAGATATATAAAAAATAACTACGTACAGTATAATATGACAGACATGTGTCATGGCCTGGCTCTTGGCCATAACAAAAACGTGGAACGGACCCGATATAAGGAAGATATTTATTGTAAACAAAATAACTACCATGATGGGATGTGTTAATCAGTAAGCACAGTAGTGTGTGAACGTGGTGCAAGGTGTTGAATGCCAAACTAGTGCACCGATACTTGAAAGGTACCGCGATACCCTGCCGTTCAAAACGTTACGATTCCTCCGTTTCATTAGTATCGGTACTTTAAGAATGACGGCGAAAAGTACTCCGGTGAGAAAGCGCTGTTTTAATAAGAGCCGTGTGTGTTCAGCGCTCTGCTTCCACTCCCTGCACTGCAGCCGTGCCTGCAGTCCCTCCCCTCTCAAGCACGCTCTAAGTCCCTCCCCTCTCAAGCACGCTCTAAGTCCCTCCCCTCTCAAGCACGCTCAAGTCCCTCCCCTCTCATGCACGCTCTAAGTCCCGCCCCTCTCAAGCACGCTCTAAGTCCCGCCCCTCTCAAGCACGCTCTAAGTCCCTCCCCTCTCAAGCACGCTCTAAGTTCCTCCCCTCTCAAGCACGCTCAAGTCCCGCCCCTCTCAAGCACGCTCTAAGTCCCTCCCCTCTCAAGCACGCTCAAGTCCCTCCCCTCTCAAGCACGCTCTAAGTTCCTCCCCTCTCAAGCACGCTCAAGTCCCTCCCCTCTCAAGCACGCTCTAAGTCCCTCCCCTCTCAAGCACGCTCAAGTCCCTCCCCTCTCATGCACGCTCTAAGTCCCGCCCCTCTCAAGCACACTCTAAGTCCCGCCCCTCTCAAGCACGCTCTAAGTCCCTCCCCTCTCAAGCACGCTCTAAGTCCCGCCCCTCTCAAGCATGCTCTAAGTCCCTCCCCTCTCAAGCACGCTCTAAGTCCCTCCCCTCTCAAGCACGCTCAAGTCCCTCCCCTCTCAAGCACGCTCAAGTCCCTCCCCTCTCTCGTGCACGCTCAAGTCCCTCCCCTCTCTCGTGCACGCGCTAGCTGCCAGAGCATGTGAGAAAACGAGAAGCATGGCTGCAACAGCCGCTGCGCCTCGGCTTGTTGACAAAAAAAACCGCCAGAAGCGAAATTTGGAAGTATCTCTGACAGTGAGGTTATGTTCTATTTTTTGTCGGAGACCTCATTGTGTTGAATGTCATTTCTGTTTAATATACAAATCTATTTTGACAAAAAAGTAGTTTGAGATGATGCTTATTTTGATTTAATGCGAATTATTGTCATTTATTTTATTTATTGTTGTCATTGTTTAAACGTTTGTGTTCTGGTGTGAAATAAAGCACAATAATTACATTTAAGACTGTTTCCCTTTTTTTAAGAAAAGTATTGAAAAATAATCGGAATCGCAATTCTTGACTTGGTATCGAAACCAAAATATTGGTATCGTGACAACACTAATCCAAACTAATGCCCCTTTCACACCAACGCGGTTCCAGGGCCGGTTCGGAGCTGGAGCTTGAAAAGCACAGTTTTTTCCTGTTCACACCGCAGCGGAGCCGCCTCTAGGCTCCGGAACCCAGTTCGTTTCAAGCACCTAAAAGTTGTCGGTCTAGAAAGCAAGCACCGCATACGTCACGCTTACGTCGGAGGCGGGGGCAGGGGTAGGGGCATCAGTTTTAATGTTATACCATAGTAATTAAAGCTGGGTATTTTGAGCTTGGCGCATGCAGAGGCTAACAACAGCTAGCTCTAACGCCATCGAATAGGACGTATATTTACCTTCTTTCTCCTACGGAATCGTTGTTGAAGTTGATGATGATTGTAAAGAACTTTTGAATGTAGCATGTAACGACGGTAAAGTTGGTAGTAAAGTCGTCCCATTTGTTCCATTTCGTTTCGACAGAGCAAAATCAAAACGAGTAGCGCTTCAACACAATCTGCCATTGTTGTCGATGTGAGGGGTTTCCGCACGGTTTGGCTTTATGAAGCAGGCACGCAAACGGTTACGTCATGACGCAAACGATGACGCAATGTCGCAGCACCAGTCGGGCTCTGAGCGGTGTGAACAGAGCGGGAGCTGAACCGAAGAACCGCTTCCGAACCAGAAAAGCTCTAACACGGAGCTAGAACGGGAAAAGCCTTGGTGTGAAAGGGGCATCAGAGGAAGGGAAACAAAAGCATATAGGTCAGGCAGCTGCTCTCAAACACAGATCCTTCCACCGAGAGAGCGAGCAAGACTCTGGCCGTTTCTCAATATCGAGTACACCTGCTGCAGAGCCACTATTTGAAGTATTCTACGTCATCGAGTGGCGCCGAAGGACTGTTTAAATGCATGTTAAATGGCCAGCATTCAGCGCCACTCGAGGACGTAGTATACTTGAAATAGTGGCTCTGCAGCAGGTGTACTCCACATTGAGAAACGGCCTCTGGCTCGGGCCTTTCACTCCTCAGGTACCGGCGGCCAGGTGCCCTCAATCAGCGCTGATAGGGAGGAAGGGAGAACGTTAAAGGGACACACACACACACACAACAGGGGAGAGTAAGGCAGGGGTCGTCACACATGCAAACAAATATGTGCAGTATTGGTTTGAAAAGTGCAAAGCCGTGCAGATATTAAAACAGGTAGCTTTGTGGACAAATAGATAGTGTGCCTTTATGTAATCAATGCATAGTGTTTATGGGATGGCTGAGTCAGTCTTTATCTGCTGTCTTCCTCTTATGCTCTGCTGTTATGTATTAGTGTAAAGTGTACCTTGAACTAAAGGGCGTGCAAACAATAAAGCTTCCATAATGTTATAACAACAAAGTAATGGTGGTAAAAGTCAAAGAAAGCAATGTTATCTACCTTTTTTAAATACTCTCTAGTTTCCTTTAGAGGTGCCGGATACCTGTGATTTAATTTCTAGCATCCTTTCAGGAGAATATTAGGCAAGACCAAGGATACATAGCAAACGCAAGATAGCTTTTTCTAGTTAGCACATTTACTGTAAACATGGCAATTTAAGATGTTTCATATCTGCAATAAAATGTCATTTATTAACTATAAGCAAAAATAAAAACTGGATACAAACAATTTTGATTTAAAATAATATCCCATTTAATATAACTATTTATATAAATTCTAATATATTAGTTAACATTATTTGGGCTATCTATCTATCATTATTATAATAAATTGATATAGTATATATGCCTATTTATATGGGTGCAAGGTAATTACTGAAGTGTATCAACATTTGTCTAAACACCTTCTTGCATCTGAAACGTTGAAATGACGGGAGAAAAACTATTTCTTCACATTTTCTTGTCTTTTTTCAGGAAACGGATCCAGAAAGACAACATCACGTTTCACGACAACGGTACCGTGTCATACCGAGAGTACAGAACGTTTTACTTTGAGCCGACGATGTCCTCGGGGGACGAGTCCGAAGTTGTCACGATCCCTAACATGTTGGTGCTGGTAAGACTTTAATTCCTCACTAATTAACTTCCATTTAGTACATCATGTGCACTATGCATTCATATATTTAATTGGGTAGAGCAGGCATTTTCCTGTCTCAAATTTAACTGCCGTCACATTTATTTATTTACCTTCATTTTTTTGCTTTTATTATAATAGTGCAGATACATTTGAAAGGGTCTGTTTTTGGTTTTTAGCCTGAAGTAAGTTCTGTGGTTCTGTGGCGAGACGCCTAAACATCATCACGCCCAACATTAGCCACCTTTAGCTTAGCGGTGGTGATGTGAAGTCATGTGATCGTGCTGTAGTTCCTCTATAGCCCAATATTAGCCTCCTTTAGCTTAGCGGTGGTGACGTGAAGTCATGTGACCGTGCTGTAGTTCCTTTATAGCCCAACATTAGCCACCCTTAGCTTAGCGGTGGTGAACTGAAGTCATGTGACCGTGCTGTAGTCCCTTTATAGCCCAACATTAGCCACCTTTAGCTTAGCGGTGGTGACGTGAAGTCATGTGACCGTGCTGTAGTTCCTTTATAGCCCAACAATAGCCACCGTTAGCTTAGCGGTGTTGACGTGAAGTCATGTGACCGTGCTGTAGTTCCTTTATAGCCCAACAATAGCCACCGTTAGCTTAGCGGTGGGGACGTGAAGTCATGTGACCGTGCTGTAGTTCCTTTATAGCCCAACAATAGCCACCTTTAGCTTAGCGGTGGTGACGTGAAGTCATGTGACCGTGCTATAGTTCCTCTATAGCCCAATATTATCCTCCTTTAGCTTAGCGGTGTTGACGTGAAGTCATGTGACCGTGCTGTAGTTCCTTTATAGCCCAACATTAGCCACCCTTAGCTTAGCGGTGGTGAACTGAAGTCATGTGACCGTGCTGTAGTTCCTTTATAGCCCAACATTAGCCTTCTTTAGCTTAGCGGTGGTGACGTGAAGTCATGTGACCGTGCTGTAGTCCCTTTATAGCCCAACATTAGCCACCTTTAGCTTAGCGGTGGTGACGTGAAGTCATGTGACCGTGCTGTAGTTCCTTTATAGCCCAACAATAGCCACCGTTAGCTTAGCGGTGTTGACGTGAAGTCATGTGACCGTGCTGTAGTTCCTTTATAGCCCAACATTAGCCGCCTTTAGCTTAGCGGTCGTGACGTGAAGTCATGTGACCGTGCTGTAGTTCCTTTAGCTTTTTGCTTCAGAAATCATAAAGTGGTGTTAATATGTGCTGAACTAAACGTGTAAGTATCACAAACGTTGAGATTTCTGCTCCTTGTTTTCAGGGAGCAGCAGGGATGATGGAGAACCTTCCCTACGCCGTGCGGTTGATGATCAGCGCCACTTTTAAGACCTTCAAAGAGGGGCCCTTCCTCACGAAGACGGTGGGGGAGCTGATGTGGGGCTACGACAGCGGCCTGGTGGACTTCCTGAATAAATGGCTGCCGGGCATGCTGCCCTCAACGGGGAAGTTCGGCCTCTTTGCTGAAGTGAGTGATTTAAAGGCTTCAATGTCACACATGGGGACAAGAAACACGTGAAGAAAGCTGTGTCCAGATGTGCAACATGGTTTGGTTTATACATACTGAGGAAAAGGGACAACATGTATATTACCATGCAAGCTAAAGCTTTTAGCAACAATGAGACATTAAACTATTTGGTTGGAAAAAATTGGATTGAAAAAAATGTGGTTTAGATTTTTTTGATGAAAGAAAAAAATACTTTATTATTTGTATTATCCCCTTAAAATTATGATTATTTTTTAATATATAAACTGAAATGTATATTTTTCATATGGTTAATCATTAATCAGGCTGTTGTTTTTGTTATTATTATTTATATATATTTTTCCTTCACATCAAATATATATATAATTTATAATTGTAATTATATTGTATGAAAAATAAATGCGTAAAAAATAAATATTACTAGAATGTATTATTATTATATAATAATATTATATATTATTTCTATTTTTAGTTCAACAACTCCAACACCGGCCTGTTCACCATCTTCACCGGAAAAGACGACATCAAGAAGATCCACCAAGTCGACTCCTGGAACGGACTGACGGAGGTGAGTCTTCAAAGGTCTCCTATCATGCAAAATGCACTTTGTGATGTCTTCTCTACATCAACTTGTGTCCCCGGTGTGTCGGGGAACTCACGCAGCGTCAGGAAATAAAACCCTCTCTCTTTTCCTCCGTACCCAAATCTCTAAAAACGGGGAGCAACGGAGCTGATCCAGATTTGCGTCCGATATGACGTAATATCTGAAATGTGGCCCAATCAGAAACGTTGCTATCAGAAACAATGCCCGACTGTTTTGGACGTAATATGGTCGGTGTTTACATTAGCATCGCTAACACTCAGAGCTAACCTGTACTGGAGAGCATGTGTGTGAAGAAGCAGGAAGTAAAAAGGAACTCACCTTGTGGTATAACCGGCAAGAGAGAAAGCCTTTGAGCTCCAAACTGTTTCAGAGAGAATCCTTGATAATCCATGATATGGTGCTTTCATCACGGCAGCATTTAGTTTAGACAGTAGCTGCCGGGTCCCGCATGAGCTCAGACCCCTCCTCTTTAAAGCTTTATACCCAAATCAGCACTTTGGAAACAGGAAGTGAAATAGAGAGATTTGAGGCATGGCTAGAATGATCTGTTTGGTGTTTGGAGCAAAACACTTCAAAGACATGTTTTTTATATATTTTTAAATATCTGAGACCTATGCCTAAAAATATCATGATAGGTGACCTTTAAAATCACTATTATTCACTTTTTAATTATTACATTTTTATTCTGATTACAGAAAAACTAGGGGTCGAAATTTCATGAAACGTTGAAGCATATTCTGAGGAAAAAGCACCTAAAATTAGGAGTGGATTCGAATCACGGAGCGGATAAATAACACTTTTTACTCATGGGAACTTCCTTTCTAAATATTGCATTTTTTGTTTGTTTACTAGCTGAACTACTGGAAGACTCCTCAGTGTAACATGATCAATGGAACGGCTGGACAGATGTGGGCTCCATTCATGACCAGAGAGAGCACCTTACCTTTCTACAGCCCCGACGCATGCAGGTAAACACAAACTACATCTAATCAAGTACTGCTCTTAAGTATAACTTTCAGGTACTTGTTCTTTTAATAGAGTATTGACATAAGAGCGGCACAATCTGGGAACAAATATAAAAAAGTTACTCCTTCGTTCTGTAGTATGTTGACTTCCAAAAATAAACATGGATGCCAATTATTACGTATATTGTACCAAAACAAACAAACATGGACGCCAACTGCAACGCGTTCCTCTCCAGAAACAAACATGGACGCCAACTGCAACGTGTTCCTCTCCAGAAACAAACATGGACGCCAACTGCAACGTGTTCCTCTCCAGAAACAAACATGGACGGCAACTGTCACACGTTCTTGGACCAAAACAAACATGGACGCCAACTGTCACACGTTCTTGGACCAAAACAAACATGGACGCCAACTGCAACGCGTTCCTCTCCAGAAACAAACATGGACGCCAACTGCAACGTGTTCCTCTCCAGAAACAAACATGGACGCCAACTGTCACACGTTCTTGGACCAAAACAAACATGGACGCCAACTGCAACGCGTTCCTCTCCAGAAACAAACATGGACGCCAACTGTCACACGTTCTTGGACCAAAACAAACATGGACGCCAACTGTCACACGTTCTCTCCAGAAACAAACATGGACGCCAACTGCAACGCGTTCCTCTCCAGAAACAAACATGGATGCCAACTGCAACGTGTTCCTCTCCAGAAACAAACATGGACGCCAACTGTCACACGTTCTTGGACCAAAACAAACATGGACGCCAACTGTAATATGTTGGTTTTCCCAAAACACACAATATAAATACAATTATATAAATATGTATATTTTAAATATATAAATAAATAATGATTATGAAAAGTATTTTTTTAGTTTTTATTTCATCAACAACATTTTGATCAATTTTTTTCAATTACATTTTCTCGAATCTAAATTGTTTTTTTAATATATATATTTATTCGGATAAAAGTATTATTACCGTCTTTTCCTCCTTTCTTTTTTAAAATCCTTTCTCCCCTCTTCATCCCTTCAGATCCATGGAGCTTGTGTACCAGCGTGACGGGAAGATGCAGGGAATCCCTCTCTTTCGATACGTTGCTCCCAAAACACTGTTTGCTAACGGGACGGATTACGCTCCTAACGCAGGATTCTGTCCCTGCAGACAATCAGGACTACTGAACGTCAGCAGCTGCAGACACAGTGAGGACTCTTTAAAGTAGAGACACTACATACTGATATACACCTGAACATCAGCAGAAGAGGACTCTTTAAAGTAGAGACACTACATACTGATATACACCTGATCATCAGCAGGAGAGGACTCTTTAAAGTAGAGACACTACATACAGATATACACCTGAACATCAGCAGGAGAGGACTCTTTAAAGTAGAGACACTACACACTGATATACACCTGAACATCAGCAGGAGAGGACTCTTTAAAGTAGAGACACTACATACTGATATACACCTGAACATCAGCAGAAGAGGACTCTTTAAAGTAGAGACACTACATACTGATATACACCTGATCATCAGCAGGAGAGGACTCTTTAAAGTAGAGACACTACATACAGATATACACCTGAACATCAGCAGGAGAGGACTCTTTAAAGTAGAGACACTACACACTGATATACACCTGAACATCAGCAGGAGAGGACTCTTTAAAGTAGAGACAATACATACTGATATACACCTGAACATCAGCAGGAGAGCACTCTTTAAAGTAGAGACACTACATACAGATATACACCTGAACATCAGCAGGAGAGGACTCTTTAAAGTAGAGACACTACATACAGATATACACCTGAACATCAGCAGGAGAGGACTCTTTAAAGTAGAGACACTACATACTGATATACAGCTGAACATCAGCAGGAGAGGACTCTTTAAAGTAGACACACTACATACTGATATACACCTGAACATCAGCAGGAGAGGACTCTTTAAAGTAGAGACACTACATACAGATATACACCTGAACATCAGCAGGAGAGGACTCTTTAAAGTAGAGACACTACATACAGATATACACCTGAACATCAGCAGGAGAGGACTCTTTAAAGTAGAGACACTACATACTGATATACACCTGAACATCAGCAGGAGAGGACTCTTTAAAGTAGAGACACTACATACAGATATACACCTGAACATCAGCAGGAGAGGACTCTTTAAAGTAGAGACACTACACACTGATATACACCTGAACATCAGCAGGAGAGGACTCTTTAAAGTAGAGACAATACACACTGATATACACCTGAACATCAGCAGGAGAGGACTCTTTAAAGTAGAGACACTACATACTGATATACACCTGAACATCAGCAGGAGAGGACTCTTTAAAGTAGAGACACTACACACTGATATACACCTGAACATCAGCAGGAGAGCACTCTTTAAAGTAGAGACAATACATACTGATATACACCTGAACATCAGCAGGAGAGGACTCTTTAAAGTAGAGACACTACATACTGATATACACCTGAACATCAGCAGGAGAGGACTCTTTAAAGTAGAGACACTACATACTGATATACACCTGCACATCAGCAGGAGAGGACTCTTTAAAGTAGAGACACTACATACTGATATACACCTGAACATCAGCAGGAGAGGACTCTTTAAAGTAGAGACAATACATACTGATATACACCTGAACATCAGCAGGAGAGCACTCTTTAAAGTAGAGACACTACACACTGATATACACCTGAACATCAGCAGGAGAGCACTCTTTAAAGTAGAGACACTACACACTGATATACACCTGAACATCAGCAGGAGAGGACTCTTTAAAGTAGAGACAATACACACTGATATACACCTGAACATCAGCAGGAGAGGACTCTTTAAAGTAGAGACACTACACACTGATATACACCTGAACATCAGCAGGAGAGGACTCTTTAAAGTAGAGACACTACATACTGATATACACCTGAACATCAGCAGGAGAGGACTCTTTAAAGTAGAGACACTACATACTGATATACACCTGAACATCAGCAGGAGAGGACTCTTTAAAGTAGAGACACTACATACTGATATACACCTGAACATCAGCAGGAGAGGACTCTTTAAAGTAGAGACACTAAATACTGATATACACCTGAACATCAGCAGGAGAGGACTCTTTAAAGTAGAGACACTACATACTGATATACACCTGAACATCAGCAGGAGAGGACTCTTTAAAGTAGAGACACTACATACTGATATACACCTGAACATCAGCAGGAGAGGACTCTTTAAAGTAGAGACACTACATACTGATATACACCTGAACATCAGCAGGAGAGGACTCTTTAAAGTACAGACACTACATACTGATATACACCTGAACATCAGCAGGAGAGGACTCTTTAAAGTAGAGACACTACATACTGATATACACCTGAACATCAGCAGGAGAGGACTCTTTAAAGTAGAGACACTATACTGATACACACCTGAACATCAGCAGGAGAGGACTCTTTAAAGTAGAGACACTACATACTGATATACAGCTGAACATCAGCAGGAGAGAACTCTTTAAACATGGTCTCTGCGGAGATGGTTTTATCGTTAAGGTGTATCATTTTATAATTTACTTTTTATTTCCCAGACTCTCCAGTGTTCATCTCTCACCCTCACTTCTACAACGCTGATCCCGTGCTGCTGGACTACGTGCAGGGACTCAATCCAACGGAGGAAGAGCACGGCCTCTTCATAGACATCCATCCAGTGAGCACACACACACACACACACACACACACACACACACACACACACACACACACACACACACACACACACACACACACACACACACACACACACACACACACACACACACACACACACACCACACACACACACACACACTCACTTTTAATCTTTGTAATACAGGTGTTTATAGAGTGATTGGGACATCAGGTGGTTTTAGTGTTGTGTCCTTGAGGTCGTGTGTTGTCATCTTAAAGGTGGATTGATTACGTATCAAAGCCTCGTTATCTCTGCATCGTTATCTCCGCATCGTTATCTCTGCATCGTTATCTCCGCATCCTTATCTCTGCATCGTGGCTCAGAGTCTCTGCTTGAACCTCAGGCTTTCTGCAAGTATTCAAATACTGGAATGAGATTTTAAAACATTTTAAGACAAAATACCAACATTATATAATAAAATAATAATACAAAATACAAATGCTAAATAAAACAAGATTTTCAAGTAATATAATAAAATAATAATAGAAAAGATTAAATGCTAGATAAAATAAGAAATTATCAAGTTATCACAAAATAAATAAAAAAGTTAATAATTATTATCATTTTTCTTCAGAAAGTGGCCGATTTCATGAATAGATTTGACACCAAATAACAATGTGAATATATATTTTATTATAGTTTTTTAGATGGTCTCTTACAAATACCCTTTTTTTTCCACAGCCCTGAGTTTGTTTACCTTAGTTCAACCAGGAGAGACTTCATTTTGTTTAAAGAACATGTATCGACACATGCCATATGATAAATGTTAAGTCTTTGGCGATTAGACCCCGATCCTGAAATGCTATATCTAAAGGGGGAAACGCAGCCGTGAGCGTAGGGAACCCCCCGGGGTCTAGACACTGGTGATGATGATGATGATGATGAAGATCTGGATATGATGAGAGGAGGCGGATGGAGAGGAGGTGGATGGGGAGGAGGCGGATGGGATGGGGAGGAGGTGGATATGATGAGAGGAGGTGGATGGGGAGGAGGCGGATGGAGAGGATGGGATGGGGGAGGAGGTGGATGGGGAGGAGGCGGATATGATGAGAGGAGGTGGATGGGGAGGAGGTGGATGGGGAGGAGGTGGATATGATGAGAGGAGGTGGATGGGGAGGAGGTGGATATGATGAGGAGGAGGTGGATGGGGAGGAGGTGGATATGATGAGAGGAGGTGGATGGGGAGGAGGTGGATGGGGAGGAGGCGGATATGATGAGAGGAGGTGGATGGGGGAGGAGGAGGTGGATGGGGAGGAGGTGGATATGATGAGAGGAGGTGGATGGGGAGGAGGTGGATATGATGAGAGGAGGTGGATGGGGAGGAGGTGGATATGATGAGAGGAGGTGGATGGGGAGGAGGCGGATGGGATGGGGAGGAGGTGGATATGATGAGAGGAGGTGGATGGGGAGGAGGCGGGCGGGGAGGAGGCGGGCGGCAGCATGAACACCTTAAATCACAGCTGACTGCAGGAGAGAGGAGAACCATTTCAAAGTTTGGCTGCAGCTCGCTGATTGGCTGCTGGAGAATGAGGTGAAATGTAATAGGTTAAAGAGACGCCCGTGATGAGCTGACTATAAGCAGCTGCGGAGTGAATGTATACCAGTCTTCCTGAAAGGTCTTGCGCTGAGCTTCATGTCACCCCGGTGGAAAGTGCAGTGAGAATCAGCTTGAAGGAAGTCCCCGTGTCACAGACAGATTATACGTTCAAAAAGTCATCATGCCCTCTTTTGTTATCGTCCTGATTGTCATTATCATCTCTTATCCTCATCTGTTGGCGTTGACCTCCAGCTGATGATAGCGAACTGTCCCTGAGGCAGAGCTTCAGTTTTACAGCCGTGCAATAACAGTAAAAGTACAATGATGTTGTTTCAATTAACCTGACCACCGTGTGATAAGCTAATTGGTAATTGGGCTGTTTGGCCATAATTGCTGAGCAGATTTAACGTTGTATAACAGAGGAAAGATTCCAGGTCATCGAGATAACAATGAAGTTAACTATTAAGAGGAATCACTTGTGGTTTATCTCAATGGAAAAACAGCATTATTGGAGGAAACACTGCTTATAACTAAATGAAATAAATGATATCGCAGATCTGTAATAACAATAATACATTTGATTTATAGAGGGCTTTTTAAGGTACTTAAAGACACCTTAACTGGTCACATTAGCACTTAAAATATACAAAATACAACAGCAAACTGTAGTTTACAATAAGAGAAAATATATATAATAATCAGAATCCAGTTTATTGACCTAGTATGTAAACAGAAATGTGACTTTATTATTTGTTTATCTCAAATAAGCATTTCTCAAATAATGACTTAGCAACTCGTAGTAAAAACAGGATCTGCAGCAGATATTTTTAATGGCTCTTCTTTGCACACATGTCCTAATTCCCCTGGATAAATGATAAGCTTTCAATTCAATGTATTACTAGGCCAGCTGTTTACATCATATATAACATGGGTCCCCAACCCCCGGTCCGCGACCGGTACCGGGCCGCGGAGGTGTTACTGCCGGGCCGCGAAATAGCTGTGAGTTTATCGTAATATTTGCAGAATTATAAATATATACAAATATTTTATCAAAAAAAAATCTTTTTATTTTATTTTATACCAGTCATATTATTTCATCCAAAACATACAACATAAATCAAAATTGGTTAGCATAAAGTCTCAGCCTCTCGTGCGCAGAGAAAGTTACAGGTGGTGCGCCAAGTAGGAAGAGGAGCGCAGGAGACAACCGTTTAATCGTAGACTGTTCTGTGTGTGGGGGAATGGCAGTGCAGACATTATTTAAGATATATTTCGAACTCGGACTTCATTTTAAGGACATTGCGGCCAGGGGTGCAGAGCTATTTTTTTATTTGTAAAGCCTCCTTCACTTCATGAAATGGCTGCAGCATCAGGAGGCAGCCTCTGAGTAGTGCAGCACCAGCCAACACATCCTCACTCCCAGGTCGGCCTATGTTGACGTTATGTCAAGTCCCCTGTCGGCTTTTTCCAACGCAAGGGGGGGGGCCTTAGCGTCCATTTTCAACGCAAGGGGGGGGGGGCCCTTAGCGTCCATTTTCAGCTTTCCGGGATGTCCATATGCTTCTATGGACGCTCATGGAAGCACGGCATTCGTTTGTGTCGGCTGCCCTTAAAGGCAATGTGAGCGTCCATTCTCATTGGATAACGGAGAATTGTACACCCGGAAGTAAGTATTCCCCTTACTGTGGATTGATTGTACAGTGATATCTGCACTACTCATCGACTAAAAAACACCAGATTATCCTTGTTAATTACACAACATTGATTGGTTTAAATTGTGTGAAATGCTTTTGTATTTTTCCCCTTCGATTCGGAGAAACAAATGTGTTTTCGGAGTAAAGGATGGCAGAAGACACTACACTACCCAGAATCCCCAGCTATCGTTTGGACTACACCATGTGCTCTGTTTGACGTCACGTGATCTTCAAATTTCTCCCTGAAGAAAAAAAAAACATGGCCGAACTTCGTTTTATTCTCGATGGAAAATGCCTATTTTAAAGTTAGTTTGGCCATTAAAATGCGTTTTGATGTCATTTGATGCGAGAAATATGAGTTGTTGTTTCAGATTATGTGTGCAGTGGATGTACATGATCTTTAGTTTGCTAGTTATTACGAAGATTACTTCAGGAAATTGCGTCCATAACGTTTTCATTGTTACCAAGGTGGTTGCTAGGGACGCTGCTATCGATATTATTTCTGTTATGTTGTGTAACTGTTTAATGGTGTTATCTTTATTGCTACCCCCTTCCCCTGTCAATGTATAGTGTTGGTCCACAGCGCAAACATATTAGTTTAACAAAATCCGCATCTAAAGATAGCCTACGTTATTTTCCCCTGTGCAATTCCAGTCTCACATCTCACAGCACATCGTCATTAACAAATACCGGAAACAGACCGAAAACATTTAAAAAAAATACAATAATACTTTATTCCGAGTGTGCTTGCTTTTCTCTTTGGAAGTCATCACATAACAGCATTGTAATACACGGTTCGGCTGCATTAAATATTACATATCTGCCGTAGTTCTGTATTTATAGAGCCCTGATGAGAAGACTTCTAGACAAACAGGAGGAACTGAAAACGTGACGTGGATCATAAATATATCAGCCATTAAACAACATCTTACATTTCTTTTCACACAATACGTCTCCTTGCAGTATCAACACTAATTCGGCTGACTTTTATATTTGATCCAATTGGTAGATAGGCTGTATTTACACCATAAAGGTGCACAGCTGATATAAAGGGACACCTAGTGGTTAAAGCATGTTATTGAATATCATTATTTTTATCATTAGATATTAATAGGATCCATATAAAGTATATTAATTACTCGTTATTCTCTACTAATAGTTCATTAAAGACTGTATATAATGACTATTTTGCACATCCCTTTCAAGATTTCATGATTTTCTAAGGTTTATTGACATATCATATAGGCCTACACAACTATGGTGTAGTTATGCATTGAATGAAAAACTTGGGTCGCAGGTTCCTCAATAGTGCATTACAAGACATCTATCAATATTTGTGCGTACCTCCAGCAATGTTAACTATGTTGAAGCACTTATTTTAACTGATATTATACATAATGTATTATACTCTTATAAGATGTTTGTAGATATTTCATCTCCGACCTTGTCAGGTATTGAACAATCAATAAATAAAGAACACAGAATTGTTGAATATAAAACACAGAATTTGTGTGATTATACTAAATGATTTACAAATAAACACCACTGCATATTTAACTGTTACACATGCTGATGTAACGCAAATGTTCCAACTTGAGATCAATAAAGTATATCTTATCTTAAGCTGATCGATGGCTATACTGCCATATTTGCAAAATGTGCCTCTGAACCTTAACAAGTGCATGTTTCAGGCTTATCAATTAATGTAATGTAATGTTATCAATTAACAACAGGGGTCACAAACATAA